CCTCCCCTGGGGGTGATCACTGTGGGATGCCGGCCGTGCCCTGCCCTCGGGGCGGCTTTCTGGGAAGATCCCCAGGCCACGCTGTAAAGCAGGCTGCTCTGGGGTTTGTACCTGGCCAGACCTTCCTTGGAGGCTGGAGTGGACATACCCTGACAAGTTCCCATGTCGTGCACAAATACTAACCTTTCTCTTCATTGTTGTCCATTGGCTGATTCCGGTTTTTGTCCATGTCACCTGCTCCTGGAGATTATTTCTTGGCTAATGCTGCGATTTTCTAGAGGTCAAGTGTCTGATAAAGCGCTTTATGGACAATATTGTTCCCAGCTTTAGGCCAGGAAGGACCAAAGAGACATCCTGGATTTGCTCATCAGCTTGGCAGCAGGGTGAGGGGAGCAGTACAGCTACCCCAAGTCCCTGGCCTGTGCTTTGGTCCTGAGCACACTCCCTGGTCCTGCAGCCTGCTCCGGGCCTGCCATCCCAGCGTTATGGTCCAGATTCCCAATGGCTTGGTTTATTCTGCTGCACCCACTGGAGCCAGCCCCATTTATATCGAGGAGCTGGCTTATTTACATTTTGCTCCCTAGAGAAACAGTGGCAATATCTTTTCCGGGGCTGCTTCAAGAAGCAGAGCTGTAAGTCTGCAGTAGAACTCACAGCAGAACTCTCAGAAGAACTCACAGCCAGGAAAGATCCAGGATCTTCTCTGCTCCTGTGTAGTATTTCTGTATTTGGGGTTTCTTTGATGAATGTTACAGCAAGTCTTCCTGCAGGCTGCACATCCCTCTGCCCCGGATGCACACTTTCTAGAGCTGCCTTTTTATTGGCGTTCACACAGGCAAAGCCCTTGTGAAAGAAAATCCCTGTGAAATGTTGTTTATTGCTCATTCTCCAGGGAGCCGTCTGCCTGCCAGTAGGGGCCGTGCTGATCTCAGGCCTGTGAGTGGAAAGGCGGAAGCAAACACGGATGGGCCGTGATTCATGCCCAGGCTGGGCTGTTTTTAGCCGGTGTAAATTCCTCGGGAGCTGCCAGGCATTGTTCTGGGAGCTGAATAGCAGCCGGGCCCAGCAGGAAAGGTCTGCGTCCTGTTCCGCCCCCATCAAACAAGTGCCAGGATGTCTGCAGGAACGGCCCAGAAACCTTCCCCTCCCCTTGGGCTGAGTGGTGTCAATAAACAAGGGGGGAATCAGCTGGTGATCTAAAGGAGAGGTTTCTTAAGAAATTCAGGGGGACAATACTGATTTTCTTCTGCTGGCATCTGGCCATCTTTGTTAGGAACTTTGCTGAAGGGAAACTGGCTTATTTGATCTGTAATAGAGGGTCAACCCAGCCAAACTCCCACCCAAGCTCACTCAAGGCTGGCAAGGAATAACAAGGATATTTTCTTGCTGATTTGAGACCTCAGGATTCCTTCAAACTTGGGTTTTTCCAGCAAAGACAATGCACCTGTGCAACTGTGGATGCAACAACTCATCAGTAATCTCCATATCTATGACATGAACTAGAGCTTCCTTATGATGATCAGACTTGAAAGCAGTGTACTTCTGATATATGAGAAGTTCCTTTGGTGGTGAGAATATGCATATTTTTTGCACAGAACTGGACCCATCATCAACACCAGCTGTATGTGTTCAGAGTTTTAGTATGCCCTAACTGCAGTGACCTGCAGTTATCCAGCTCTTTGGCACATCAGTGTGTCACTTCTTTCTGCCCTGAAGGGTTTCAAGCTACAAGGCAGACAACCAGCTCTCTGGGATGAAACCTGAAGCCTGGAGGTGCACCGTATGTTCTTGCATAGCATCTGCACTAGCTTCAGCATCAAATTTCAGTCTCACAATGCAAATGTTTGGGATGGATGTGACGTCAGCAAATACAGGGCTTGGACCTAACCTATCTCTTCCTTGACTGATAACAATATTAATTAGTCTTGGTACAAACTGCTCAGGACTCTGTTTGGGCTGCCTAACCCTTCTTTGAAAAGTGTCTGTCCTTCTCAAGGCTTGTTAGCCTTTTCCTTTCCCCAGAGGTCAGGATTTCCACATTTTGGACCATTCTCTCTGTTCTCACTTCATTCTCATTCTTTGGACCACATTTCTTTGAAGCCCAACACTGATCCAAAGCTCCAGCATGGGTTTGGCTGTACTTAGGCAGAACCGATGGGGTATTCCAGGCTGTGATCCTGCTTACAGGCTGTGATCCTGCTTACACAGCCTGGAACAGGATCTGCCTTGTTCACAGCACAGGACTCCTGCTTCTGACTGCCTGTGACTTCCTGATCCTGCTCCTTCACCTACCGTTTCCCACCAGCAGAAGTGCAGGTAATTACCCTTATCTAGGTTAATTCCAGCCTCTGTTTCCCCGACTCTCTCTCAATTTTTCTGATGTTGCTGTGAATTTCAGCCCTGCAGTTTTCCATTTGCCCAGACCTTCTTCTCCAGGTAAGGCCTGCAGATTTTCTCTGTTCTGACATTTGATGTCACTAATCAGCTACTTATGGTCCTGGAATTACAGTAGGAATCCTGTTCATTCAGCTGGACAGCTGCTCTGGTAATGCCTATATAAGCAGGTTCAAGCTCAGCCATGTCACTTTAATTTCTTTATAAAGCCATGAGAAGAATTGCCTGAAGCCTACAGACTTCCCATTGCTCCTCTAGATCAGCACTGCACTATTACTGAATATTTCCTAAAAAAGGAAATGCTGATTTTCTTCCTGGCTTTGGACAACCATCTGAGAATACAACTGAAGCATACCCATGGCAGCTGACAAATGAAATATGGAAGGCAGGATTAAGGAAGAACAGGGGGAAAACTGGAGTGGCAAGTATTTTAACGTCAGCATGGAAGTGCTGAGTTGGGTGTGCTGTCCGGTGCTAGAGCTGGGCTGTTTGAGTCCTTTCACCACGTGTTTGCACAGCTGGAGCGAGTGGCAGGATTTAGCTCAGGGAAAAGGTCAAAACCAGGACGTGCACTTCTCCTGTGTGGCCACACGATGTGCCCATCGCTCCACGAACACAGCCCGGCCAGCCCGCCTGCAATTGCAGGCGTACCCGCAAAGGCAGGGGGGTTCCAGGGGGTTGTATTCCCTCACGGCACCTCCTTGTCTCTAGCCAGGCCCCCTAAAACACTCACACGGCTGCAGATCAGGGCCGCAGCCGTGGAGCAGAAGGTGGTGAATGGGATGGAGTTGGTGTGATCCAGGTGCTTTGCCTTTGAGGAAGGTGACAAGTGCTGTGAAAGAAATAGGAGCCAAGTGGTCAAGAGACAATGGCAACTCTTCATTAATTATTGACTCATCAATAATTCCAATTATTCACTGCCCAATTATAATGGGCAGGGAATAATTGGAATTAAGTTGCCTTACTAAATGTGAGATTTACTTCTGCTTTTGGTGGGAAAATGTGAACAAGTTCTTTTTCATTCTAATTGCTGGGATGTCTTGGCCCTCTGTCCTTTGTATGTTCTCTGAGCAGAACCAAGAGGCTCTTCAGAACTAGAGCTGGCATCTGCAGGAACCAGGCATCAGCACAGCGATTTGTAAAATAAATATTGGGATTAGCACAGATTAACATCTATTTATGTAAGTGCCAGAAGAAATAGCACAGCTGGGGGACTAAGAATGGCTTGAATTTATAACAAATGACACCAGAAAAAAATTTAGGACTGATAATTTCAGCCATTTCTAAGACCACAGGACACACAACTCACTTGAGGGAGAGCCTCCTCCCTGACAGCAGAGGATAGACATCTCCCATTTCTGTCCTCTGCAACCAGGCAGGAAGAGGGACTGCAGCAAAGGATCATCACAAAATAACTATTGATTGTTAAGGATTGTTAAACAACTGCCCCACAATGGGATATTTAGTGAAGAATTCACAGGCATCACCCCTTGTGGTGTAGGTTGCACACAAATGATTGGGGCTGGACAGAACTGGTTCCATGAGAGTGAATGAAATCTACAAGAGAACCAGTGCAGGTGGCTACAATGAGCATAGAATGTAAATAAATACCATAGTCCCCTTCTGTAATACCTCCTACAATGATTCAAAGAGACTTTAATACTTATAATGGGGACATAGCAGAGATCTGACTTCCAACAAACCTACACATTTTAAAGGTGACCAGTTAGTGCAGCTGTACCACACAACCTGTGTGAAGCAAACCATTAATTTCAGGGCAGAATAAATGATATTGTCTTCTGTTTAACTCACAAGGCACTTTCCTATAGTTCTATCTACCTTAATCAGACAAACTGGGGATTTAAAAAAAAAGGATTAATCTGCTCATTGGCCATAATTGCATTTCCTCTGCAAATATTAAGTTAGAACAATAGCAGTGGCTTTTGTAATAAATTTACTTTTAAATGCTTTTCATGTGAACAAGAGAAATGTGTGTTGCCTGCCTAGAGCTTAGAAGAAAGAAGTGAGGAGTATTTTCCC